GGAAAGCTTCATGACAGGACGCACAGGCAGGATCAGATTGGATGGACTCCTGGGAGAGCTCTTTGATATCCCAGCAGGGCTTCCACAAGGCTCGCCAGTCTCACCTATTCTATTCATGCTGTTTATTCAGCCTCTGTTCTTTCTAGGAACTATACAAAGAAGACGTGCACGCTTAGGCTACGCAGATGATCTAGGACTGCTTAGTGCTGGAACCACTCTTGAAGGGAATGTTGTTACTCTCCAGGAGGATTTCAAGTTGCTAAATGATTGGGCCAGCAAAGAAGGGCTGACATTTGATTTTGCCAAAACTGAGATAGCACACTTCACACGGCGCAGAACCCTTTCAAACCCCTCAATCAACCTTGAAACTACATCTGGCACTCACTCTATTACAGCAAAGGCAGTGAAAAGCTCCATAAGATATCTAGGAATCTGGCTAGATAGAAAACTGAGCTTCAAGAAACACGTGGAGACCATGGCGGCTAAGGCACGACAGGTGTCTAATGGCATACGAGCACTAAGCAACACAGCAAGAGGCGCCCCAGTACAACTGCTTAGACAATCCATTCAGGCCTGTGTGCTCTCTGTGCTCTGCTATGGAGCAGAGGCCTGGTGGCCTGGAGCCACACGAATGGAGAAGGGAAAGGAAATCTCCAATCGAATGGATTGCCTAGTCAGAAAGCTAGATCTAGCCCTTAGAGATGCTTTGCGAGGGGCACTGCCAGTCTACAAGACCACACCCATTTCAGCTCTACACCGTGAGCTAGGAATCATGCCAATGAAAGAGACACTAGACAACCGGCGTGCTGTATTTGCAGTAAGAATCAAAAAGCTTGACAAGAGGCACCCGCTAGTGAGACGCTCTAATAAAGTAGCTACCACCAAACCCTATACCACACGTCTGTCTAGAGCGTCCAGTCATGCTGGTGGGATAGAAGCATATGACCCTCTACTCACGCCCCCTTGGATGAGATTTCCCAGGAAAGAAGATCTGCAGATTGGGTATGTGGCAGGCCGCACAAAGGAACAGGCAGCACAAGACTTTAAGAGCTGGCTACAACAACGCAATCCCCTGGATCTGGTGGTCTTTACCGATGGTTCACAGATAGAGCACCCTCAGCGTGTGACTGGTGCAGGATGGGCTATATGCTGGGGTAGCGAACACCGTCTAATCTCCACAGGAAACCTGCCAATGGATAAAGCAGAGGTCTTTGACGCAGAGGCAATGGCAGCCCTGCAGGGCCTAAAGGAAGCCACCACCTCGCCTCAGGCAAAGTTTGCCAGCAACGTCTACATTTGCCTAGACAATTTGGAGGTAGCACGAGCCCTTGGATCCGTGCCAAACACCTCTAGCCAGCAGGTCTTCGCGCAGTTTCTGAAAGCCATAAAGGCCTGGCAGAGCAGGGATAGGCTCCCATTGGCCACCCAGAGCAGGGTGGTCATTAGATGGGTCCCAGGCCACGCAGGCGTGGCTGGTAATGAAAAGGCAGATCTTGAAGCCAAAGCAGCCGCAGCGCAGGCAGCAAGTGCAAGCATGGTACCTCAACCTGACAGCATAGGCACTCTAGCTTATATAAAGCGACACACTATGGAACAAACCACACGGGCCTTTGAGAACTACTGGGCCAAAAATCAGCCCAAACGCTATATGGAGCTGGAGATCCCACTAAAGAGAGCCTCAACAGAGGTAAAACTTTCACGCTTCACATTAGGAAAGCTCTATGCCGCCCGATCAGGTCATGGAGACTTTGCAGCCTACCACAGCCACCTTAAGCATGAAGATGCAGAGTGCTACTGCCGGTGTGGACATAGCAAAACTCCAGAACATTTCTACTATTGCACTCTTGCAAGAAAAGCAGCAAAGCGGCGCCGGCCTATCTACAATCTCCGCGAGACACTGGCAACCTCGCGTGGGGCCCTAGAATTCAATAACTGGCTAAGAGAAACAGCCTTCTATCAGAATATCTGTCCAATGCGCCGTCGCGCACCTCCAGATCAGATCCCACAGACCATTCTCTCCTCTGTCTTGCCCCCATCTTCCTCACCACCTCCTCCTCCTTCCTCTCTTTCCTCTCCTTTCTTTCCTTCCTTGCCTTCCTTCCTATCCGCCTCCCCTACCTCCCTCCCACAAACCTAAAACCTCTCAAAACCTCTGCTCTATGGCAACCGACCCATGGGCTCTGCCGGTGCAGCAATACGCAACCCATTTTTGCCTCATTTGTAAGATAGCTACTAGATAGGTAGTCGCCTACGGGCGTAGCTCTACCCGCCCTATAGTTCGACGCGGACTCTACTAGATCACGTGCCCTTAAGGCACGTGGACTAACCGGGCGTTAAATAAAAACACACACACACACACTTGCTTTCCATAATATGTGAGATGAAAATGAATAGGCTGGAGCAAAATACAGATGCTTTATGCCCCAAATAACTGGTTCGCATAAACGATTTCCTATTGACACTTGTTTATCTTCGCTCTTCAAGAGATAAACATTGCAAAATATGTTGTTGGGTAACTATCCCTGTTGTCCTTTTCTGGAAACAGGCCCAACTCAACTCCCTTGTCGCATTTATTTTATGTTGCGCAGCAGATACGTAGCCTGTCGCTGCTTCTTTATCGGACTAAGTACGGAGTATCTCTAGTTACAATCCTCAACTGCACAGGGGCAGCATGAGAAATTCGAATCCGTCGCTGGAAATGGAGTATTCAGTTCCTTCATCCAGTCCAGCCCCATCATTGTTTGCAAATTGTAGTGAATCTCTGGCAATGGCATGCAGCCATTAATTCGATCGTTTGAAGCAATACCTTGCGCCTGAAAGGAAACTGTTTCCCCGGAACAGTAACACTAAAGGAGGATCATCCTCCCATTGCCAAACTTCTAGTTGCTTTCCGAAGACGGATAGCACTCTAACTCTAAAAGATAGTTTGAGATCGCTTAATGATGGAAGGTAGCTCTTGGATACTTTTTGCCCGAGGACCGTTTCGGGTATTTCTACTGCCGCGGATGTTGCGGATGCGGGGGTGGCCAAGGTAACAAGATGCATTTCCAAATGATCCATCTCGCTGCGACAATCTATAACTATAGAGAAGACAGAATCATCAGAAAGTTTCAAGCCCATTGGCTGTTATTTGAAAGGTCATTGTGAGACAACAGGATTGCAATCGAAGAATGTTAATGTGTCTGCAAACGACAACGTGCAATACAGGGTAGATGTGGCACTTACCCAAGAGCGAAGAACATCTTAATGAAGCTAATAAGTTTAATAGGAATTTTGTCGCAAGAGGTGATGCATAATATGGCCAAGTGTACGTCTCCGGAGAGTAATGGAGAATCACGTACTGTTCATCAGAGCCCGCCTCAAAAGTATAATATTTCTGTCGATTCAGCAGGCACATGAAAAGGAATTCTTTTGTTCCTCGCATCTACCGATCCTGAGCAGGCTCTGGAAGTTCGACCATTGATGTGATCGTTGTGCATATACCCATGCATACAGCGGATCAAGATGACGCACAGCCGAAGTTGAAAGACAACCTGTCTCTGGAGAAGCAAATCTAGAACAAAATATGATATCGCACGCATGTGGAAGAGATTTTTGGAATTCACCAAGCCCGGTGGATGGAAGAAAATGTTAATTTCTCTCTACTCTACTACTACATGCCCTATGCTGAGATGGGGATATGATATGATCCCCGAGCTAAGCAGTGTTTTATCTAGACTTTGGCTGTTCCCATGGTTAGGTGAAACAAAGCCCATCGAAGTAATTAGGGAACGGGGGTTTGACAACATGACGAAATGGTGGAACAGCCCCTATGTTGGCTTATGCAGGAGCAAGTTGCTGTATTGTGCCTTATATTCACCGGGATTCTGGTGAATGGTTGGACGGGAAAACCGGCTGAGCCGTTCCCATTCCCGCCGGCTATTCTGCCCCCGATCATCTAGATATCTTACCTTTCATTCCACCGTAACTCTTCCTTATTACTCCCTCGTCCTCAATTTTTTCCCCTCTTCTTTCTTTCTCATTTCCCCCTTCTCGATTTGCCCCCCTTTTCTCTCTCTTTTTTTCCTTTTTCCTTGTTTCCCATATTTGATTCTTATCCCTTTACTTTGTTTCAGCGAGTTGTGAAGTGCAGTGGTTCTGAAGGACAGACAGTACCGACTAATGTTCTCCTTTCTGGTGTTTTATTCTCCAGGCTCCGCCGGACTCCGCTACCGTCGATTCCTAAATGGCAAATAAATGTTGATTTCGTCCCAAAAATCTTCAAATCCAGATTTCTGTACAGTGAGTACCCTTCTCATTTTATGTTATTTTATTTTTATTTTAATTTATTTTATTTTAATTTAATTTAATTTATTTTATGTATTTTTTCTTCTTGCGCCTGTTAGTGTCAACGGTTGTTGTTGTTGGCTGTTATTCTTCCTCTGCACAGGCGAATTCAGGCGGTATTTCAAGAACTAGACTTGGTGGTGTTTCCTCCACACTTAACATATCTTTAGCCCTTTCTTGTCCTTTCCATTTGGCAGTCCACGGGCTTTTATATTGCCTTCCTATAGATATACCTATGTATATGATATTCTTGTTATTTTCTCACAACGGGACTTGGGTTGCGCCTTTCCCCCCCTGTTTGGTATCGCTACCTTCCTATTTGGGAAATGCTGCACTCCTCAACTCCTCAAGAAACGTCCCTCCTGAACATCTCCCAGCTCTCTTCCTTTTATCTTCTTTGCATCCGTTTCATCTTTGCGTGTCCATCGTCGCACTCCTACTACTGTCGTCTCCTCCGCGTCCTCTAACCGTTGCCGTTCGTTATGTCAAGTATTGGTGTGGCCTCCTTTCACCATATTTTCCTCCGACATCGCAGTGCTGATCTATCGTGGTATGACACTCAAAACAGAGAGGAGGCCCAGTAAGAGTCACCGCAACCTCCAGCCATCGCATCTCCATCTAATCTTCATTCCGGTTATTGTTGGTTTACAGAAACCGCAGAGAAAGAATCAATCATGAGTGATTCACCGAATTCGGAGCCAAAAACTCCCCCCGAAACTATCGACCACAGTAGTGACCCGCCCACCTATGTTGAGGACGGCTCATCCCATGACTCATTTATCGCCCGCTTTCTGGATGGCTTCCGTCGCGATCCAAATGCCCGGATCTCGAGTGAGAAGAAAGAGACGGGCGGTTCCCAGGACAAGGCTTATAATTTGGAGGCGGCTGTTTCTAATACTGCATCTTCGCCTTTGCAGCGAAAATTGAGAGGCAGGCATTTGCAGATGATAGCTATTGGTGGCTCAATTGGTGAGCCAACTCTTCTGAATTTACTATATGTTTTAATTTTTTTTTATTTTATTTATATATTTTTGCCATTTTGATCTGTGAACGTTTAGCTAATTAAGTCGCACTGATAACCAGGAACTGGATTGTTTATTGGTTCCGGAAAAGCTCTTGCGGATGGTGGACCTGCGTCTGTTCTGATGGCTTTCATCCTTGTAGGGGTGATGTTATACTCCACTGTTCACGCCTTGGGTGAAATGGCTGTGCTTTTCCCGGTTGCTGGGTCTTTCTCCGCATTTTCGACCCGTTTTATCGACCCTGCTTGGGGATTCGCCATGGGTTGGAACTATGGCTTACAGTGGATCATCGTTCTCCCGCTGGAAATCGTCGCAGCTGCTATAACTGTTGGTTACTGGGGCCCTTCTATTTCACTAGCAGTCTGGGTGACTATATTTTACGTGCTAATCGTATCCATCAATTTGTTTGGTGTTCGTGGCTATGGAGAAGCGGAGTTTGTTTTCTCCTTAATTAAGGTTATCGCAATTGTCGGCTTTATGTATGTCCTCCCAAGCTTTTTCTTCTCTCCAGCGGAACTATGTTCATTCACTGACATGCACCTCCCTCCCAAACAAAGCATATTGGGGATTGTTCTAGATGTCGGTGGTGGCCCCAATGGTGAATATATTGGGGGAAGGTATTGGCATCGCCCCGGAGCGTTCCACAATGGATTCAAAGGCCTCTGTACTGTCTTTGTTACGGCTGCTTTCGCCTTTGCTGGAACAGAGATGGTGGGTTTGGCTGCAGCAGAAACCTCCAACCCTCGAAGAACAATACCGACTGCCGTTAAACAGGTCTTCTGGAGGATAACATTGTTTTATATCGTATCCTTGACGCTAGTCGGCCTTCTTGTCCCATATGACGAAGTAAGATTGGTGACTGGTGAATCAAGTGCCGATGCCAATGCCTCTCCCTTTGTGATTGCTATTAAAAATGCCGGGATCGAAGGACTCGATTCGGTAATGAACGTTGTTATCTTGATTGCGGTGCTCTCGGTCGGAAACTCCTCTATCTACGGGTCTTCGCGTACCCTCGCCGCTCTAGCTGAGCAGAGTCAGGCTCCTCGCGTCCTTACCTATATCGACCGTCGAGGGCGCCCACTCGTTGCGATTGGTATTTCCTCTGCTATCGGCTTACTTGGCTACCTAGCGGTGGCAAAGGAGCAACAAGGTACGGTATTCTCATGGATGCTTGCGATCTCTGCATTATCCTCCATTTTTACCTGGGCGTCTGTTTGTTTCGCCCATATACGATTTCGACGTGGTTGGCAAGTCCAGGGACGCAGTTTGGACGATCTGCCCTACCGCTCTCCAGCAGGTGTTACAGGATCATGGATAGGACTAATCCTCAATGTTCTTGTCCTTGTCGCACAATTATGGGTCGCTATTGCCCCCGTCGGCTTCCGTGAAATGACTGTGAAAGAACGAGTCGAAACCGTGTTTGAACTGTACATCGCTGTGCCAATAATTCTCTCCTTCTTTATTCCATACAAGTTGTGGTATCGCACAAAAATGGTACAAACCAAGGACATGAATCTTGACACTGGGCGCCGTGATCTCGATATTACGAATTTAATAGCAGAAGAGCATGCTGAGCGTACTCGATGGCCGATGTGGAAAAAGGTCTACAAAGTGTTTTGCTGAAGAGCAGCCTCCTTTCAACCCTACTCCATTCTTGAATTGCATCTGGCAAAAGCAACACACTAGACATATTGTCCTTCCGTATCGATGAGGTCTCTTATCTACCCACCCTCCAACATACGTCCGATTTCTCATCGATTAATCTCTCATATCCTGGCCAATCGAGGGCTCTTAAAATCACACACTAACCACAAATCACCCTCGCATACACCCTTATGAGTAATTCTGAAGCTCATAATGCATTACCATCCCTATACCTAAGCTTTCCGGATGCGAGAATATGCTGTTCATTGACTTCAACACGGTTCTATATATGATCTCACTCCTCTCTACTCTACCGCCTGTTATTTTAAATAATACTTCAATGTTCTATCGGAGAGAACATAAGATAATTCGCCAGAAAAATGAAAAGCAGATCTAACTTGAACGTGTGTCCAGAAATCAGTTTATATGTTATAATATTTTATATCTTATGTTTTAATTCTTAATCCTCATCTACTTTGTTGCAAAAGTTCGTTTTCTTCTATCTCTTTCTACATCGACATCTTCGTTCTCTGAGCCCAATGCCTCCGCTGATCATCAACACAAAATGTTTCGATTGCCTCATTTTATCTTTATCATATCAAGGCTTTCCTACCTGGGAATGTAAATATAATGTGGGGTTGTTGCGGGGAGGAGGGACAGGGGATGCAAAAGTTACGGAGTCTTAGCATGTCCAGTCCTTATTCGATGAAGTAATGCCTTTGTTAATATGCTTTTATATGTAATTTTTGCATGATTTGATATATGTTCAATTGCTTATTACAATCATTATATGGTTACAACTACGAGGTGGCCTATTTAGTTAATCATAATTGTTTCGACTGATAATGTTACCAGGGACTCGATTTGCGACGATATCATGCAAAACCTTTTCTGTAGCAGATGGAGGAATATTTAGTGGCCGCTTAGCCTCTTGTGATCTCAGACTAGGTATCAATTCAATGTCACCTAACTCATATCCATTCTCTCATCATATCTCTTCTATTTCACCTCATTCATCGTTTGACTTTTAGTCGATATTGGCAGGGATCAACAAGTGAAAGGTAAGAAACATATGTCATATCAAGGTCGTCATCAACCTGCATGCTTCATCAGGGGAATGCAACTTAATTTAGCCTTCTCCTGACATTTGTTGTATGGCACCGGGTTTGAACTCTAAATTACTTTGTGGGGAAACGAGAGCCCGTGCTCATGCTGACAAGTAAACTAGCCGGTCTATATTTCAACCAGACCCTTTTTTGACCACCCTATCCAAAGCAACCCCTCTTCCTATTTGGGTAAATACTTAACTGCATATTCAATCTAATTGCCATTCAAACATGCAGGCTTCCAGACCTGCTGCTAAAGCTGCTGCTGCTGCTTTTTTAGCCTCAATTTCCAGCTTCTGTAGTTGTTTCCTAGTGTCTAGAGCAACAGCTACCTTTTGAACCTTCTTAATCCTTTCTATATTGATAAACTGAGTATTTGAATCAACTTTCACCTTCTTTATGGTTTTTGACTGCCATAGGGTCTCTAGTTGATTAGAGAGTTTAATATTGTAAACTAACTGACAGCTTATAAAGCATTCAATTTATCAATCATTTTGCTAGCTTTGCAAAGAAAAACTCACTGCTTTCTTGAAAGAATTTCCTTCTTTTTCAACTGCTGCAAAGTCTTATATATATGTTTAAAATGTCATATGATTGTAAATAAGTGTTATGACTCAATTAGAGTCAGATTGATAATAAAACAACAGTTTCAATTCATATATTTAACTAAATAGATAAAATAAAAATACTAAACTGAGAGTTAGAATGTATAATGAATGAGCAGCTAAATATATAAAGATAATTGAGAATCAAATTGAATCAACATGAGTAACTGAATATAATTAAGATCAGAGTAAATCAATTTTTAGAGTATAATAAAATAAATCAATTTTAATTCATATACAAGCAGCTGTACCATAATATTACCCTCTGATTTAAAAGAGTACTTGCTCTCATGAAGCTATATTAAAAGTAAAAAAAGAGTAAAATAAAAATTCATCAAGTTTATTAGTAAACTAATTATTTTAATTATCATTTATTAGATTTTTATAAGTTTTCTTTCATATCTGTTAGGGAGTGAATGCGAGCTGCATAAGAAGGAAACTCTCTGTGTTGCTAACTGCTATATAATGAAATACTAAGCTTGATGGGATGAAAGAGGTGCTGGGGCCTGCCTGGGTTATAACCACCTGCATGATCATTTGATCACATGAGGATATTTGGCCTAACCAGGCGCTGAGCTTAATCTGATGTTGAGTCTAACCAGGCACTGAGCCTCAGTCAGGCTCAGTTGGGTGCTGAGTCTAACATCACTCCTCAGTCTAGGGACAGGCATGTCCTCATGCTGGTAGGTCATCATCAACCTCATCCTTCAGGTAGCTGTCTGTCTTCCATGTCTTCAGTCACTCATCTAGTCACCTTGAGGGTCCAGCTTTTGTAGGATTAGCTTCATGGAAGTTGTGTATGGTGTGTGATGATTCTTTGAAGTTATGAGCTGGGTACCAAGATGAGTCCTCATCAAATCCCTTCCAGTGGACTTGATATTGCAGTTTGTTTCAATTTATTTGACTGGCTAATATATGCTTCACTTCTCATTCATTTTCTCCTTCTATCTCAATTGAATCTGGTGATTTGACAGCCTGTCCTGGTAGGAGGTCTCTTGAATCTTTGTGCAGCTTGTCTGGGGAGAAGATTGGATGAATTTTCATGGTTGTGGGGAGGTCCAGTCTATAGACATTGCTCACTCTCTCTAGGATTCTGAAGGGGCCTGTGTTCTGTGCTGCCAGCTTATGACTTGATCAGTCAATTCTGTATGATTTCAATGTCAAGTAGACAAAATCTCTCACTGTGAAGTCAGGTTCCTGATGATATCTGTCAGTCTGTCTCTTCATCTGTTTCTGTGCTGTCTTCATGTTCTTGTCTGCTCACTCTCAGATCTCTTTCATCTGTTTAACAAAGTTTTGAGCAGTTCTTCAATTTGTCCTCTTCCCTGCTCTTAGTTTCCTTGACAGGGGCCTTCAGTCAAATGATGTTCATGACTCATATTCATTTGCAGCTAGAAAGAGAGAGATCTCAGTGAAGATGTTTGAGATGACTGCAGAAGCATGATCTATAATGAGTAATCACTCATCTCAGTCATTTTGATAGTAATTAACATATGAGTGAAAGTGTGTGACAATATACTGATTTGTTGTCTCTGTCTGTCCATCTGTCTGTGTGTGATGTGCTGTTGAGAGTTTCAACTTTATGTCTAAAATTTCTGTAAACTCATCTCAGAAGTTTGATATGAACTAAGAATCACAGTCAGAGACAATCAAGTCTGGTGCCTCATTATAGAAATAGTAGAATCAGATGAATAATTGAGCCAGCTCCCAGGCTGTAACTTCACAGATGATAGGAACTGAAATTGTCTTCTTGCTTAACTGACAGACTATAACTAGAATGACATCACAGTCACTTTTGCTCTTTGACACATCCATGAAGTCCATTGTGATATGCTGCCATGTCTGTTCTGGTATTGATAGTGACTCTAGCAGGCTGAGGACTTTGTCCCTTGAGATCTTACTAACTTGGCATATATGACAGTTCTGAACATAGTGTAAGATATTCATCTGCCAGGTGATTCATCAATAGTGAAGGTGAATCAGGACCAGGATCTTCTGTCTCCCTGGGTGTGCTGTTGAGGTCTGATCATGAATTTTCTTTAGCAGAGCAGCTATAAGAGTTTCTTCCTGAACAGACACTATTAATCTTTCATGATAGAGCAACATATTATTCTTCATTGTATAGAGGCTATTCTTCTCTCCTACTTGCTGCTGCAGAGGCTCAATTGAGATGACTGTCTTATTTAAAGACACTATGTGTTCAGTAATGTTCTCTTCCTCTGAGAAGTTGATGTCAGCAATATTCATAGAGAGTGTGATCTGAGAGTCAAGAATCTCTGATTCTAGAAGAATCTGCATACAGCTGTTCTGTTACTTCTTAATCTGCTCAGATCTGCTCAGTGTGTCAGCTAGCAGGTTGATCTTACCTGATCAATACTTAATCTCAAAATAAAAATGAAAAAGAAATTCTGTTCAATGAGTCTGATGTGTATTCAGCTTCTTGATTGTCATGAAGTATTTCAGTGCATGATGATCAGTGAGAATCTTGAATCATTCTTCCTGTTGTAGTCTCTCAAGCTCAGCTTGTCACATCTGCAATGCTTGAATGACTGCAAGCATTTTCTTGTCATGAATCTCATAGTTGAGCTCTGCATCATTCATTGACTTGAAGTAGAAGATCACATGATGTCAAAGATTATTATTTAATCTTTGACTCAGTATCTCAGTCATCACTTCATCTGAGACATCAGTCTCAATGCAGGTTTCACATCCAGGGTCAAAGTAATGTAGAGTTGAAGTCTCCATCAGCTGCTTCTTCAGTTTCTCAAAGACTGATTGACATTCTGATGTTCACACAAATGAAACTGTCTTCTTTGTCAACTGATATAGTGGTTTTGCAATTCAGCTATAGTTTTTTATAAATCATCAATAGAAGTTGTCAAATTCTAGAAATGATTGAACACCTTTTACTGTAATTGAGATCTGCCACTTTGTGATGACAGCAGTCTTCTCAGAGTCTATCTCAATTCCCTCTGTGGTAATGATAAATCTCAGATATCTTGTTCTCTGAATAGCAAACTTGCATTTCCAGATGCTAGCTTGCAAGCCTGCTGTCTTTAATCAGTTCAGTACCAGGTTCACTTGCTGCTTGTGTTCTTCAAGAGTCCTGCTGTAGATTAGAAGGTCATCCATGAATGCTGTCATGAACTTGTCCAGGTAGTCAAAGAAGATACTGTTGACAAACTGTTGAAAGCAGACAGGGGCATTTGTAAGATCAAAGGGAATCACCCAGTATTTATAGATCTCATAGTAGGTTCTAAAGATGATC